GTATTCTCGAAAAAATTGCAGAAATTGAAAAAGAAATATCTAGAACACAGAAAAATAAAGGTTGATACGTTAAATTTATAATGACACATAGTAAGTGAATGCAAAATTAACGTGTTACAATTATGATTAGCAACGGAGTATCACCTTGGTTTACTGAAGGCAAAGCTAGCAAAGTACAGAGTGCAACTTTTAGAGCCTTCAAAGTCTGGTGGGGCAAAGGTATAAAGCAGCGTTCTAATTTAATTGTTGGATCCAAGGAGTGAAATATTTATTTAGTGTATATATTTAGGGTGAGGGTTTTGATGTTATGAAATCTGGCGATGCAAGAGTTGCATTGATTGGATTTCCCTCAGTGGGTAAATCAACATTATTAAATAAACTTACAAAGACTCATTCTGAGGCTGGCGCGTATGAATTTACTACCTTAACCTGTATACCTGGTATTTATAATGTCTTCTGCTCATCACAAGAAATTTGAGATATTAAAATAGTGAAAGTGACCATAGTCCGTTTATTTTTAAAGGAAAAATTGAATATAATGGAGCAAATATTCAATTATTGGATTTGCCTGGTATTATTGAAGGAGCTGCTCAAGGTAAATACTTTTTTTTCTTTCTTTGAATACTGAATATCATTCTTAAACAGATTTCATTTGTACGATAGGTAAAGGAAGAGGAAGGCAGGTAATTTCTGTCGCGAGAACAGCAGACTTAATTTTAATGATGCTAGACGCAACCAAAAGTAATCAACAACGGTAATGCATTAATAAGTTATTACTATGACGCGCTGTTCTCTGTTTTGAGCAATGTTCGATTTGTAACGATCGATAAATTTACTAATAGTATATTATTAGAACGTGAATTGGAGATCGTTGGGATTCGATTGAATACGGAAAAACCTAACATATACTTTAAGGTAGAAATGTGTCGTCTTTTATCATAGTGTTCCAGATCGTACTTATTCATGTAGTATATATAGGTTAAGAAAGGCGGTGGAATCAGCTTCAACGCTACTGTTAAATTGACATATTTGAATGAAAAGATGGTGTATAATATTTTGCACGACTACAGTATCCTTCAATTATATATAGTAAAGAAATTAGATCATTTATGACATTATGATATTATATATTATTTTTATTTTTATTTTTATTTTTTTATTTTTGAATAAGAAATTTTCAATGCTGAAGTACTAGTTCGTGAAGATGTTACTGTTGATGAATTTATTGATGTTGTGTTGGGTAACCGTAAATACATCAAATGCCTATATGTAGGTTTGTTCCTTATTTACGAATGCAAAAATATACGTATATTAATCTTTACATTTTTAATCTATTCATTATTTCCCAGTGCTATAACAAGATCGACTCAATAACTTTGGAAGAATTGGACCGTTTGGCACGTGAACCAAATACTATTGTTATTAGGTAACCAATATAATTTATTTAAGAATTGAACAATACCAGAAAATTTTGTTGATGAGCAATTATCTTAGTTGTGAGATGGATTTAAACCTTGATTATCTTGTTGAACAAATTTGGAAGTATCTTAATTTGTTAAGAATATATACCAAGAAAAGAGGAGGTACGTTTTTGGCCATCCGTTTACTTATTAAAGTACACTACCAAATTATTAATTTTATATTTTAGAATAT